GGCAGGTTGGGGGCTGAGCTGGAGGGCAGGGGAGGGGAATGGGCTGGGGGTCCTGCTGGGCAGGACCATGACCTGCAAGGTGCCCTGGTGGCCAAGAAGGCCAAGGGCATCTGGGGTGGGCTAGAAAGGGGGTGGTTGGTAGGTCAGGGAGGTTCTCCTCCCCCTCTGTTCTGCCCTGGTGAGGCCACATCTGGGATGTTGTGTCCAGTTCTGGGCCCCTCAGTTCAGGAAGGACAGGGAACTGCTGGGAAGAGCCCAGGGCAGAGGCACAGAGATGCTGGAGGGAGGGGAACATCTCCCTGCTGAGGAAAGGCTGAGGGAGCTGGGGCTGTTGGGCTTGGAGAAGAGGAGACTGAGGGGCCACCTCATCCACAGTGAAAGAGGAACAATGATGCAGACCTGTTTGTGACGTTCTGTGTGTTGAGCAGACTAAATGTGGAAGGTACATGTTAGAAGAGCTTATGCTGCCTGTGAGAAATGTTTGTGGCACCAAGGAACAGATCCTTCAGTGAAGCACAGTTTGTTTACACTCTGCACTGGGCCAGGCTGCCCAGAGAGGCTGTGGAGTCTCCTTCTCTGGAGACATTCCAACCCCCCTGGCCACGTTCCTGTGTGATGTGCTCTGGGTGCCCCTGCTCTGGCAGGGGGGTTGGGCTGGGGGATCTCTCCAGGTCCCTTCCCACCCCTAAGATTCTGTGATTCTGTGTTCCCAGCTCAACCCCCCAGGCCAGCAGTGAGAAGTGTGGCAGCTCAGGGTGGAAGGTCTTTATTCCTGGCCTGGAGGAAGGAGCAAAACCTGGCAAGTCCATAATCAAATAGGAAAGGCAATCACGTAGGAAAGGCAATCACGTAAGGAAACAAGCTTGATGGAATTTAGGATTCAAAACCTGCCCTCAGCAGCAGGTGAGCAGTGTGTCCCCAAGAGGAACTCTGCTGGGAAAGGATGGAATTTTGGTGAGCCCCTGATTTTCCCTCAGCTGTAGTGTCTGTAGGAGGAAAGGAGACAGCCCAAGGTTGGCAGGACGGACGGGCCAGCTCTGGTCAGCTTTGACCTCACACCACCTCTGCTCCTGGGACAGGGACATCCCAGCTGCCCCCTGAGAGGATTGCAGCCCCATCAAGGAGACTCCAGAGGGAATGGGGTCGTTTCCCCCTGCCAGGGACCAGCTTGGTCCTTGGTTCCCCCCTGAGAGCTGCCAGCTCCTGCTGTCACCTCAACCTCAGCTGGGCTGAGCAACTCCCCCCTCCCAAAAAGGAGCTACTGGAGGGGGTCCTGGGCAGCTCTCAGGTTTGGGCAGGGGGAGAGGACAGGTATCCACAGGGAGCACTGCCTTGGGATTCAGGAAAAGCCAGGAGAGCAACTTGGAGGGAGACATAAATGGACAGTGACCATCAGGGTCTGTGCTGTCCCCGTGCTCTCTGTCACAGCAGCTCCAAGGTGATGGCCCGGGAGGGGGGGTGGGCTGGCTGGCCCCCGGGCACAGGCAGGATCAGCAGTGTCACCTGCTGGTCCCAGGTGGCAGTTATCAGCTCCAGGAGGTGTCACCCCGAGGTGTCCCAGAGCAGCAGTGCTGGGTCCCCTTCTGTCCTTCGCTCCATCCTGGACTGTCCATCATTTGGTTTGGTTTGCTCCTGCAGCCCAGAAATCTGCAAGCAGACAGCAGGGAGGTGGGTACACAGCCCAGCCTGCCCTGCTCGGGGAGGGGCTGCCTGGCAGGATCTGAGCAGGGGAGATGGGGAAAAAAAAAGGAGATCCTCTCTCTGGTGACCAGGCACCAGGTCCCTCCCCACCCCTGCAGACACAGAGTCCCCCGTGCAGCTCAGCTGCACAGCTCCTGGGAGGAAGGAAAGGGGAGGAAGAGGCTGTCAGGACCCTCTGTGCCCAACCCTGCTGCTGGGGCATGGAAAAGGGACATCACATCACTTCAGGGGACATTTTGAGGTGTCCAGACAAGCAACCTCCAGCAGAATGACAAGAGACACTACATCATCCACAGACTGGGAGGAAGAACTCAGCAAATCCTCCTGCCCTTCCCAAATCTTCCCTAGGACTGTCCACAAGGACTCAGAGATGTTACAAGGGGCAATGGGCACAGGCTGGAGCACAGGAGGGTCAAGCTGAACAACTTCTTTCCTGTGAGGGTGGCAGAGCCCTGGGACAGGCTGCCCAGAGAGGCTGGGGAGGCTCCTTCCCTGGAGACATTTCAAACCCAGCTGGACATGTTCCTGTGGAATCTGCTGGAGGTGACCCTGCTCTGGCAGGGGTTGGGCTGGGGGATCTCCAGAGGTCCCTTCCAACCCTGATGACTGTGTTCCCCATGCTGCTCTGACAACAGCACAGGGGTGACCCCTGCTCCCCCTTCCCAAAACCCGAGGAAGCCTTGAGGAAAGTGCTGCCAAGCCAACACCTGGGCTGGCTGCCCTCACCTGGAGACCCTACCCCCTCTGGCTACCACGGGAGGGGCAGATCCTGGTGCTGGTCACCAAGTTAATGCCACCACCAGGGCAGCCACCTCCCTGTGCCACCAGGATTTGTGCCGCCAGCCCTGCTCTAACCCCGTGGAGGGGAAAGGCACGTCACCTAGAGTTTAGCAGAGGATGAAGCAATACCCAGCAAGGCAGGGAAGTTGTTGGCAGAGGTCAGCCAGCTGCCACCATCCACCACCAGGGTGGTGCCTGTCACGTAGGAGGAGAGGGGGCTGGCCAGGAACAGGGCGCTGTGCGCGACCTCCGTCTTGTTCCCCGCGCGCTGCAGGGGGATCGTGTCCAGCAGCTTTGCTTCCTTGGCAAACTTCCCACCTAAGGGGGGAGAAGAAAGCGTCAGCTGGGATAACGGGCAATGGGCACAAGCTGGAGCACAGGAGGTTGAGGCTGAACGTGAGGAAAAACATCTGAGGGTGGCAGAGCCCTGGGACAGGCTGCCCAGAGAGGCTGGGGAGGCTCCTTCTCTGGAGACATTCCAAACCCAGCTGGA